TGTAGCTTTCTATCTGTATTGCCAGTACTTTTWAAAATCTGTCTTACAGTAGGGCATATGTCAAATACTTGTTTTAAGTGAATTCCTTTTTCTTTCTAATCTCTCATGTCTTTTCTCTTTTCATTAGAAAATCCACCTGAACAGATTCAAAATTAATTCTTTTTTCCTTAATCAAAGTTTTCAGGCCTTACATAAGCATAAATTTTGAGGAAAAGAAAAATGAAATTCATGTATTCTGAGTGAGTCTCATTTTATACCATTTTCCCTCCCAGATTATGCAAAAAAACAAAGAACAAGGCCATTCATGTGTATATTTTTAATGATGGGTCTCAGAATGACAAAGATATTATTAAGTGTTGGATCAGTTGACAATTCCGACACTCAGGCACAGTGGTTTGTAAATTCATCGCTGTGGTATCTTCACTGAAAAACTGCTTTATCAGAAACAAATTTATTGCAGAAACAAATTTATTGCAGTAACTGATTCAGTTCCCAGTACCACCTGTCTCTCTCTGTGTTTTTTTTAATAACAGCTTTTAATCTCCACTGTTCACTAATAAAAATATTTTAATAAGAGATAATACTGTAATCCAAATGCCTACAGGTGCTTGAATCAACTATTTCTGCCTGTGTAATTGCTATCACTTTGTTCAACCCTTTTTAAAATTGCTATTAAATCTCATTCTCATTTTCTGTATTAATAGAACAAGAATTCATTTTTAGTGTACCCTCCAAGCAGTAATGAGCATTGTTAACATGTAACAACAATGCCCAAGGGAAAGTTTTCGAAGCTGGCCTAACCTTAAGGCTTTGCTGTTGATGTACTACAGAGTCATCGAGCCAAGAGCTCTTAGAAGTAGTCCAGTTGGAGAGTTCAGCTGAATATTTCTGCTTAATATATTGCGAGAATTATAAATGGTTTAGGTGGTGACCTAGAGAGAAGGGGAATTTTTTGTTTAATACCTTAAGAGCAGAGAGGCAATGTTAAAAATTAATGATACCTCCTGCTCATTTTAAAGTGTATCACATCATGCTTTTGTTCTGATGGTTTTGCTTCCATACAGATTTTCATAAGAGGTTAATGAGAAAACATTAACAAGGCATGCAATATTGCACATGGGCAGGGGAGCTGAAGCATAGTCATTTMGTTATAAACAAACAATAGATGTTACTTTTTAATTGCTTTTTCAGAAGCCCAGTTCTGCCTTCCTGAAGAGCTATTATCTATCTTTTTTAATTCAGAATATTATCCTTATTTTTTATGTACAGCAAAAATAAACCTGCCTATAGCAGTGGTGCTTCACTGATTGCAACTGAATGCCTTGGTCGCAATAAACCYGTCAAGACCCTATAGATTAAAAGTCCTGTACGAGGTGCAGCAAAACGACCTCTTGGAGTGCTAGAATTTGACATTGAGTCTTTAGCTGATTGTGGTGGAAATTGGAAATGGCTTAGCCAGTCTCTGTTTGGGGTAAAATTTAAGAGGCTTGGACCCAGTATATTACAGGAATTATGCAGAATAACATCAATTTTTCTTGGGCTTTTTGAGGTCTCGAGTTCATTACTGTGTAGGATATAAGGGTGTATTTTAGATGATGGTCGAATATTTCAAGAGAGACCTATTCATAGGATGTTCCAAAATCTRAAACCAGTAAGGAAGCAGGGGTAGGAAGAAATGTTCGTTTGTTGGAACAAGTTKGTCTATGACAAGAATGCACAAATTATTGTCATTTAGCCATCTTGTTTCACAGCACTTGGTCACACCACTGCCCTTTCCTGGGGTATAAGCTAAAKATCATCATGTCCTGAAACATCTAAATATGAATAGGCAAGTTCAGTAATGCAAAAGCTGAAGAATAATAATGAAAGTCTACCGAATGTGCTGCATGTTGTGTATTTCTGTCCATTTTTTGAAATGGGAGGGAGGTAAGGAGCAGTCTTACTGGTTAAATAGGTTTCAGAGCACTGCAGTTAATAAACTCATGTTTTTCATTTTAGAGCTAGGCTTGATACTGCTTTTTCTGCAGAATAGTTGGCTTGTGTTGCAGATGGACTTTTAAGAGAGGACTCTAACAAGGGACCTCTTATATAATTTTATTTAATGTTTGGTTTTAATTCTCAAAAYAAATAGAGGTGAGATGTTGAATCTGATAACAGGAGGATGGAAGGTTTTACAAAGGATGAATGAAAGCTTTATAGATTTTTTTTCAYCCTTCCTTCCAGGTTACTCCACACCATACTGTGTGCTTCATTCTCTTCAGGTACGTCCGTCCCTGAAGTGAGAATAAGGCCATACCTTTGAAATTGCATATATTCCATTTTTCACCTGAAAAGAGGGTTTGCTCCTGGACTGTTGCATAGGAAAATTCATTCCCAGTGCGTGTTTAGTCTTGGCATGCATTGTCAGAAAGGAGGTTGATGACAGTAGTGTGTGGAGGAACCAGCTTCCAGCCATTGCTCAGAGATCAGTGGAAGGTGTAAGACGTGCAGATTCTTGGACATCAGGTTGTACATGTATTTCATGTAGTTTAATTCTTGTGATTCCATCTTTGAATGAAGACTCATTTRGAAAAAGTCTTCCCCTCACAGGAATTTCTGCAAAGCTCAGTCCTCAGCAGGCCCTGCATGGCCTGTCAGGGATCTCCGGGTGGCTCAGGACTGCCAAGTGTCAAAACTGTGTTACTTTCACCCTTACACATGGACTGGACATATTCTCTGATATCTAATCTATAGATCAGCATCCAGCTTGAACCCTTCCTGCCTAATGGCCATTTGACTTCCTTTTGTCTTTTTCCCATAGTTGCCTAAATTTGTTTTGTCATTTTTTTTTATCAGGGAGCAAAAGAAAAGGAAAAGCTTTCCCCAGATCTGCTCCGTCACCTCCAGAGTCTCATTATGTTTGAGGTGTTCCCTGGTCATGTTATCCTATTTCTTAAACAACCATTGCCTCTCTTGATATAATAATTCATACATAATGCTGGCTTGGTTTTCCTTGACCTGCTTGCTGTAGTTCTTCCCTAGTTCACAGAGACCTTGTTCCATTCTCCCTGCTGARTTTGTGCTTCTTTAGAAGGAATGAATGGATATGAGCTTCATCTGATAAATACATGCATTTGAATATGTGATTTATTTGGGGCTGGATTGTTTTTGATAACTTTTATCTGTAGTTGATTTGCATCTACTTGGCTMAGACTCRCTGGGGGTAACACATAGAATAAATGAATAAATAAATTTGTGGAAAAGGCAAGAAGAGGGCAGATGAGTGGATGGATGATAGGGAAAGAGAGGGAGACTAAACAGAGTGGGATAGAGAAATGGTGATTAAGAARTACAGAAAAATAAGGATCAAGCGGTGATCCACGTAGAAAAAAGAAATAAAAAGGATTCAAACCTGAAAAGAACAGTCTGAAAATATTGAATAGAGTGCAAAAGAAATAAGTAAGAACTTGGTGTCTGAYTACATTTGAAAGAGCAGTGCGTTACTTTTAATTGTGTGAAAGGACTAGGAGGGAAGAGTTTGTAGAGGGGACTGTGGGACAATGCCCAGGGTTGTCCACAATTCAGAGCAGGAAGCCTTGCCTGTTCAATCAAGTTAAGGGTTTGTGTACTGTGAACTCATAYTAGCAGTGTCTCTGCACCTTTTGCACAGCTCCATGTGGAATAATCATGTAATGAATCCTCATTTTCCTCTTTCAGACTTGCTGGTTTGGGTTGGCATTTCTTCAGCCCTTCAGTCTGACCTTTGTTCTTCTATCAGCATATAAAATTAACTGAGAAACAACAGCAAAACAACTAAGCACTGCCAACAAGACTTCTTAAACTTAGTCTTATTGAAGCCACCCTGTTTTTTCACATCCAGTTCYGTATTTTTGCATGTTATCCCTTGTCATATTGTGTCTCAGAAGCTCTGTTAGCACCTGCAGGCAGAGATTGTCTTTATTCAGCATTACACATGTACAGCACAGCACCAGTCACGCATAGTGCAAGTCCTGGAAAAGGATGCTGGGGCTGAGGGGGRAAAGCCTTTGTTAGTGCATTCCTGCTCTCTTCGGCTCCTGACTCAGGAATTCCTCCCTGTTCACAAAGCATCAACAATTGTTGCTTCTCCTGTCCACTGTGTTTATTTTCTCCATGTTTTATTTGGAGGTCAGGGGAGCTTCCAGGCACTTCCAGTTTGCCTTCTTTCTAACTRCTTTTGACCTCTGTCCTTTAAACCCTTACTGTTTTGCTTAAGTTTAAACAGATGAATGTGATTATAAGTATTCACATGTTAATAATAAAATATGTATTTAAAGTGTCTTAGTGGTTCAGTTTTGAAGAGAAAAACATTTCCACTCTGTGTCTGCATTGCATCTATCGGAGGAAGGGTTCTTAGAATTGATTGGGGCTTATAATAGTTAATAGACAGTACTTTACCATTGATATGTGTATATTTATATTGACTCTAGTGGGTCCCCACAACCCTACTGAGAGCRGACTCTCACAGTAATTACTAGGTAAAATTTTGTTGTTCCCTGTCCCAAACACCTTACAGCCTGGGAAAACATGGATAACACAGCAAATGAAATAAAGAAATGTGAAATGGTAGCACAGAGACTATCACAGCAAACAGCATATGAGTTTCACATGGGTTGATGCATATTGCTGGTGGAAATGCTTTTATGTCTRTGTCATCTCAGGAAGGGAAAGATTGTCCAATAGCTCAAGCAAACCATGAGGATTAGCTTTTGTTCCCTGTTCTGAATCCCTAGACACACAGGAAAGCTGGGACACTTCTCGTGGTGACGTCTCTCATTCATCCCCAGAGGAATGAGTCACAAAAGTGAAGATGACAATTCATGTCTTGAAACATACGTGTGCTAAATAAAAAATACCCATTGGAAGGAAGATATATCATCTGCAGTAGAAGTTTTGGGAAGATTATTTATTTATTGATGATATCTCTCCTGTCTTCCCCCCACCCCAATTTTTTCTTTTTTTTTTTTGTTCTGTTTTTCCAGCAGTTGTATGCTGCCCAACTTGCTGCGATGCAAGTGTCTCCGGGAGGCAAGATTCCTGGCATTCCCCAGGGGAACCTTGGTGCTGCCGTGTCCCCTACCAGCATCCACACAGACAAGAGCACAAACAGCCCTCCACCCAAGAGCAAGGTACTGTACCAGGCCTGTGCCTCTCAGTTGCAGGCAGCTTTGTTCCCAGGATAGCTTCCTGAAATGGGAGGATCTTGCTGCAAAACAACTGGGAAGAATTTAGCTAAGGAATGAAGGGAGAAAGCAGTCCTATTTAGGTGACAGCAAGAGCTTGATAAAAATGTGTCCTTCCTTTTTGTTAGTGTCCTCTAGCATGCTGTCCATGTCCTTTATCACATTAGGAGACATTCCTTGAATTGACAGTAGTGTCTTGTTTTTACCCTAACAGTAAAGCAGCACAGATTAAAAATAACCAGACAAATAAATAATACCATTGTCAGCTCAGTGAGACACATGTTCAAAGAATAAAAGACATGACTTGAAATCAGTAGCTGCTGTGTTGATGAATCAAGCTCTGGGTCTAGGTTGTCTTTTTTCTCTCTTTAGTGTAGACTTTCTGACTTCCTGTAGTTTTTCCTTTGCTTGGCCTCTTCTCTTAGAGCAAGAAATCGCAAAGCTGTGCAGAGCTTAATGGTGGATTGTTGGCTTTTGGGTTTTGGGGTTTTTTAGAAGTGTTTGGTTGGCAAGTTTGTGCATTAAACAAGGGGAGTTTTGTATGTGGCTGGCGGCTTGTGAGATCTCCTGCACTTAAAATCTCAATGTTGTTTTTGGTTCTCCTGTGCAGCAGGAAAATTTCTGGTGAGATCTAAGGGGCACAGTGTGTATTTTGTGGCAATTGCAGGATTACAAAGCCTGCCATATCTGCTGGTGGCATCAAGCATAACCATTTTTAACTGACAACTGTCAAGATCAGCTCTGTTCTTTCCTGTGTTTTATTGCTTTTTCATATTTTTAGGTGTTCCAGTGCCTTTGGCTTGCAGTTGCATAGGARACAAACAAAACTTACTTTGCAAAGGGGGGGTGGGGGTGGGAAATAAACTAAAAAAGYGGGCCAAAAGGAAAGGAAGGGGGCTCCAAAAGGCTGTGAAATTGTGCTGTGCGAGCCCTGTGCTGCATGCTGTTTTCAATCTGCTGTGTGCCAGTTGGAGGCTCCAAGAGAGCGCGAGAGAAAGAGAAGGGATAATGCTGAGAAATGATAGAGTGGCTGTGACCTCCAAGCTCAGCCTGGAAATCCAAGACATTGATTTCACTTAGCATTCCTGCTGAGAAATCCGGCAGAGTTCAGTTGTAATAAAAGAACAAGATTCTGTTCTAATGGTAATGGCGTATGACAGACATATCACTTTGTCTGTCCTCAGCACCAGAGAGAGGGGAATTGGAGAAAGGTCACCTGACCTGCCTGAGCTGTTGTGCRAGTGCTGTTCTGAGCTTTGAACCCCAGCCTGGAAGCACAATTATTTATAATACTAAATGATAAAGAAACCTTTATCGGGCCTACAGTAATTAGAATAAAGCTTAYACAATGGTGCAGTGGCCTGGCTCGGAAAACACACTGGCGAATCCATCACAATGGCAGAAACTGAAGCTTCTGTGTTGGAACTAAAACCTTCATTTGTGTCTGTGTGGATCTTCCTTTGCTTTTCCAAAGCTTGTTTGTGTTCAACAGCTCCAAAAGTTTATTGCGTTTGCTGTTTTTTTTTATTTTTAATTTTTTTTGTCTAACTGTTGTCAGGGAATATCTGTCTGAGTTACACAGCCCTTTTCAATTTTTTTTTTAAATCCCTGGCAGCAATTTGGTTCCTGAAGTTAGTTTTGTGGTGATCTTTCTTGCTGTTACTGTAGATCAGACCTCCACAGATGAATAGTTAATGCCTCAGACGAGCTTTCAGTAGATGCTGTTTACTGAATCTCTATTTTCAGAACAGTTTACATTGGCACAGCTTTGGTAATACGCTCAAGTGTTTGGAGACAAGGAGACAGCCTTACCTGAGAGTGTGTCAAGCTACTGGCAAACATCTAGGTCACTTCTGAAAAGCTGTGGCTTTTTCTTCTCCTGTGTAGTGTTAAAGTTAGTGTGCTGCTCTTTGCAAGGATTCTTCAAAGTCGGCCTCAGCAGCAGATGGAACAACTGTTGGCTCTAGAAATGCTGAGAAGCATCAGGGGGAGTTTGCCAAGGATCATCCTTTAAATCTAGTAAGACTTGAAAACATCCCTGAAACTCCTCTAAGACCTTGGCAACTCCTGTTTTGGCAAACATTTTATCAGTGGCCCTCACCAGTGTTTGAGCACCGTGCTGGACAGACTACCCTGGCAGCTCCTGTCGTCTCGYTCGCCTTTCAGCAGATGTGACCTGGAAGAGTCAAATTCACTTCCGAGGGTTCTGTGCTGTAACTTTTAGGAAGCCATGAAGTGGAGATGCCATTATGCTGTGCTGCACACATTCTGTCAAGTTTTGGTTAGGAAACAGAGCTGGTGTCGTACATTCTTCCAAGAAGAAATCCGTGCCAGAAAAACTGATTTAAGAAACAGAGCTAGTGGAGCCTGTCCAAAAGAGAAATGCGTGTGTCTTGCGGAAATGGATTTTAACACAGCTTCTTCTTGAGCAGTTTTAAAAACAGCCGGTATGCTAATCATACCATTCAAATTTACCAAGGCCTCCTCCACAACCCGTTTGAAAGGCAACTATCTTTGAAGTTTGCCAAATTGTGCTGGATTTCCAAAGTCTGTCTTAAGCACATTTCGCCTTTGATCATGTAAATGCTTGCATGCTGCTCTGTTGGATGTTCAAGGTGGTTGCAGGCTCTGAGTAAGCAGGAGAGAACAGGCAGAGGTGCAGATAAGGACTAAGCAGAATAACCTTCCAGCCCACCTCGTGATTCACTTCAAGCCTCTTGCTTGTACAGGGCCATGCACGAGATTTAAAAAAAAAAAAAAAAAATAGTGTTGTAGGAAATATGTTTATCTGAACAGTGACCTTTACTATGCTACCAGGACTCTCACCTGATAGCTCCAGTCTTCACTGGCTCCAGATGAGGTGCTTTGTACCCTTGAATAAGGACAGCAACTTCACCCTCACTTGTGAACAGTCGGGGCCCTGTTCATTCCTGCCTTTGTTTTTTGCTTTTTACGTGGCATGGATAAATATAGCATCTAGAGCCTGCATGCTGCAACATTCTAGCCCTTTCCATGTAACCTTTCAAGTGCAGTAATTCTAAAGTGAATTTTCAATGTAGCTTGTAAATGTAGCTAAATGATTCCCTGTATTTAATGGAGCACAGTGCATTGTCTGTAGCATCTGCTGTAAAACAGGAGCAATTCTCTGTGAAATGTGACAGGAGAGAACTCTTGGGCACTTTTCTTTTAACCTTCTTGTGACCTCAGCCCTAACCCTACTCTCAGTTGTGTCTCCATCAATGACAAGAGCACACAGATTGTCCAAATCAATTTTTTTTTGTTCTTTTCAAATACTTCTGGCAGTGATGTTACTATTTGCTCAGCAGTAGCACCTGGGAGTTGTGACAAGGAAAGGAAATGTGTTTCAGACAAGCCAGAAACAGCACTAAGCAGCTGGACATMTACAACCAGACTCTCCTCAGCTGCAATATTCAGACAAATATCCATCTGAATCTTTAACTGAAGGTGGTGCTTTCTTTTCACATTGCCTGATCACCAAAGTGAACATTTGTTATGGAACTTTCTTTATGTCATGTGTAGGCAACAATTAAATGGCCTTTGAAAGTTTTAGTGCTTGCACAGATCGGCCTTAAGATGGCCAGAGCCTCTCCAGATGAGCTTCTTCCATTTTTGAGGMGTGTCTGCTGATGGTGCTGCGGTTGCTGCCATGCACACCAGCTGTGTCTGCATCCTGGTTATAGTGCGTGAAGGATAGAATGGGAACAAGGTGTGCTTGCTCCATTCTCATCCAGGGAAGGTCTGGGAACTACACTGTTGACTTTTTTAACAAGTCTGTGTGAGACCAAGGAAAAAATAAAAAATAAGAGCCTTTAGAAATGGGCATTTTAATTCAAACACACCATAGGCTATGTTATTAGAAAAAATAAACTAAGGGGAGCTGATTGTGGATTTTCCTGTCCCAGTCAAAACTGATGATGTGACTATCTAGTTTCAGTAGGAAAGCTTTCTTAAGTCAGGATAAAAATATAATGGGGGGGAAAAAGGAAAACATCTGAAGGAAAGAATAAATAAAAAGGCCCTAAACCAGTTAAAAGGCCCATAAAACTCATCTGTGTGAAATTTCTGATTCTGCTTCAGGCAGATTGTTGACCTGAACCTCATTTTAGATGACTACCCTAAGCAGCCCTGTTAAGTCAGATGTACTTGTCTACCTTTCTCTCATCTCCCTCTTCCATATGATGGTGCAGAATGTGGAATTTTATCCTGGGGAGATCTTGAAGAAAACATTAGTCTCCATCATGTGCACAGCTGCATCAGCTCACTTGCCACATCACTCTATGACTGTGGCAGAAGCCCGGCTGMAAAGTGGACATACAGATTCTTTGTACCCTCAGAGCTGCCAGTTTTGAACATGTTAAAGAAAAGTATTTCATTTCAATTAAAATGTTCYGATAGCTGTGTCCAGGTGACCAAAGGCTGTGATTAGGTTGAATGGGGCCAAATACCCCTCAAGAGTAAAGAAGAGGAATGTATCCGAAACCAACCTATAGCAAATGTTWGGCCCTATACACTAATGGCAGTCCTTGTCCTCTTTATTGGTTGGAGAGCTCAGCAGCTGCTGAATGCCTGYCCAAGCAACAAGAAAACAAGGCATCCTTATTTTCATTGGAGTACTGAGGTATTTTAGAGTGCAGGACAGCACTTCTCATTAAAGTGATGTAAGACACATCATCCCTGATAAAACACCAAGGCTATATTTACACAAGTTTTATCTCCAGCATTCACAAGCTTTTCTATTTTTGAGTTTCCAGACTGGACATGATTTTATACGCCACTGATTTTTAAAAAAAAAAAAAAAATCCTTGCTAAATTAATCTATTAAGCTTTTCAGCACCGGAATAACAATTAGCACTAGAATATTACACATCACTATATCCAAAACATTTTTCAGTGATTGCATTTCCCAATCCCCTTGCCAGTGCATC